TTCTTTGTTTGTATAATACTATACTATACCGTATAAGCCGTGTAGTACCCACCTTAAATTAGGGAAAAATAATTACCTACTGGTTGTAATTTTCTAAAGTGATTTTTTTTTAATTTGTAATAGGTTTTGAGAAAATCTTAAAATAACTAAAAATGAAAAAATAATAATGGTTTTTCGAGTAAACTTTCGAAGTTCCTGAGTAGTCTAGTCTAGAAAATACTTAGTCTATCCTAACTTAACCTAACTTTTAATCGCATAGGACGCATTTCTGAAGCATAGCTGTGATAATACGACGATTGCATTTGCCATATTTACTTTGGACACGGCGTTAAACATAACTTAGCTTCTATTTAGTGAGGTAAACATACATTATTATGTACTTACAATTTTATGTCGGTTCGATCAAATGCTAGCCTTACATTACTTATGGTTATACTGTAAACACGTAACACTATACATTATAATTATGCATTTATTAATTTATATTTGTTTTTTATACTGACATAAGTACACATATTTGTGTGCTATAATGCTTGAACTGGTGGTTAAAACTTAGATTTAAGGTATATAAATAAATTGACCCCAAATTAATAAAAAAAATTATTCGGTAAGAAATCCTACCAAACCTAAAAACATTGCATGTATTTTAATTGTTCTTTTACTTAATAATTTCTGGATAATGGCTAATTCATCATGTGCAAGAGAAGTAGATTTAATATTAATTTGTTTTTTTGGTAAAAACATGTTTAAAATAATACAAATTTCAACAAAACACTTTTTTACAACTGACCAAGATATGCCTATACATTTACCTGAACATTTAAGTTTTGTTAAATAATTTTCAATTTTTTTTTTTTAAATCAAATTTAGTTGTTTTTTATTTTAAAGTTTTTCCTCATAGTTTTTGGCATAAAAAAACATCAAACATATTTTGACGAAACAAAAATTAAAGAATCTTATTGGGATGGTAATATGCATTAATTTGTCCGAATTCATTGAACTACATTATTTGTAATGCCCGTACACGGTAAAAGTATGTTTTTTATTAAAAGCTGTTCTGTTTAATTATTACATTACCGTTCATCGACAATTATTACAATTAATTTGCAGTGCAGCGTGTACTTGCTCCTAAATACCTACATGGCATGAAACTGGTTCTGGCGCCCGTAAACTCCCTACCGCGGTTATGGTTAAATCGTACCTACATCGTACTGTGCTACCTATTACTTTGTCCTGTCACTTCATTTTGTTGTTTCAACGACCACGGACAATATTTTAATATATTTTGTTGAAATGTCCTCTCACACAGGTAATAATAATATTAACGTACACATGATGTTTTTCCTGCTCGACTTTCAACTATAACAAAAATAATTATAGTGTTTCCTTCTTTGTTATCATTTTTCTCCGTCAGGAAGGTGAAATGCGAAACAGTGTTGTCTTGGCGAAGGACGAATATTCTAAGCAACTTGTACCTAAACTGTTTGGAGTTTAGACGTGTACCGATAAGAGAAAAGGGAAGTAGCAGAAAAAGAGAAATGCGCAGTTTCTACTCTAATAGATATTGAATAATTTTTTTCAAATATATTTGATTTTAAACTGACTAAAACCTAAATAGATGCGACAGCTTTTATAATTTCCCGCTACTATTTCCACCGATGCTAATTTAACTGTACGACATGGTTATAAAACAGTTATAGAACTATTTCTTAGGATTTTAATTTATTAAATAGCTTAAAATAGATAAACAATTATCTAATACCTCAACTTGTTCTTTTTTAACCGCATTCCACGTTCCAAGCAATTTACAAAACAAAAAATGAGGCGATATAAAAAATAATGACGTGCTTGAGAAATACATATAATTATTATACGTGTATTTGTTCTTTTTCCAAAATCGTGTTATACAGTGTTAATACTATTTCCATCAATTTTGCAGTACGATAAATTTTGTAACATTTTAGTTAATTATTAAAAACAGAATTTTGGAACGAGAACGCTCAATTAATATCCACCAGAAACCAGTCTCGACTTTACAACAAACCCGGTATAGAAAACATAAAATATTATGTTTTTTTTAGAAACTCTTTAATAAGCTCCCATATTACATAGATACAATATAGTATAGGTACAAAACTACAAAACTTTTAAACCAACCTTTTTTTGCGATTGCCTCCAAGTTATAAGTAATAGCCGTATGTCCTCGATTTCTGTGGATATAATTTCTAACAGCTTAATTTTCAATAATAATATTATAAAACTCTATGTTTTAACCTGTCAGATCAAGCCTGATATGACCGTATCGTCATTAAGGGGGCGCTTATTTTTATAGTCAATATTACTCCCCTCTAGTCAGTAACCGATCGATTTAAAAACATTTTAAATTACTAAAATAAATATCTATACCATAGCAAATTTTTAAATTCAAAAACGGTTTTGTAAAAAATATGCAAATTTTGACAATTAATTGAAGTGGTTTAGGTATGTTAAAGAAGGGAAGAAAGGGTGTGGAATGAATTGATCCGGTTAACCATTTACTATTGATAAAGCGAGAAAGTTTTCAACAAGAGCTTTTGGTATTATACTTGTTGATAGAACTGGTCGTTCTATCAACAAGTATAATACCATGCGGCCATAAACAAAATAAATTTAATTATCTTTACATATCCATAATGTAAAATCGTGGTTGGGTATTTGGGTATTAAGAATGTACTGTCATATTTAATTCGATACTCCAGAACGTAAAAATAATATTTGATTTCTACATTTGGGTCATTGTCTGAAATTGATAAATCAATTTGTTTATAATGATTAATGCCCATGTATTACTACGTTTAAATGCTATCAGTTAAGCCATTCTTAAATTAAACTTATTCTATGAGTCGACCTAAATTACCCGACTAGTTTACATGTGATTTCAGAATGAGTTAATATACATTTATAATTTATTTCTTATACAAATTAACTCATAACGTTTTAGTACTCGGGCCATGGTAAGAGCTGAATCTATCACTGCAATAAAATCTGATTGATGATTGTTTTGTTTAAATGGAAAAAACAACTGATTTGATTGATGAAACCGATTTTGTTTGGTTAAACCACATATTCGTGCGTCCTCAAATTAAAAACGGTTTATTATTTTATTTAGGTCGTTTTAAGGTGTTTACATGATGCATGATTAAACCGCTTTAATTTCTAAACCGCCTTTAAATGTGCGCGTAAATTGTAAATGTAGTAAATAAAAGAGCACAAATACGCATGATTGTATATATTATAATGTTGCTTTTCTTATAGAGATTTAAGATTATACAATAAGTTATCCGTTTGTTATACATTTTAGAATTATTGAGTTTCCAGTTTAGAGAAGCGTTGCGCTTGCAAAAGTTTTGTAAATTGATTGACGTTCGCTTGAAGTAGGATGTTTGACTTATTATGTTCAATTTGGATTAAATATTTGTTGATGGGTTTAAACTATTAAACCTTGTTGTTTTGAATTGGCTTGACAGTGCTTTGTAATGGATTTTTGTGGGTATTTCATCAGTTATTTGTGTTGAATATAAATATTCAGTCATACAGTCCAATCGTATAACAACCCTCTGGCGTTTATTCTATCGCTCAAGGTCATTCGTTGTTCATGATCAGCTGCACATAAGTTTAACAATTATTGTTATTGTTCTTTACGCGCTAACGAAATTTAGACACATTACATTGATACGTTGTGTGGATTATGTATTATTTACACGTTTGCCTGGTATCAAAGTGCATGCGATAAACACTTGTTGAAAACTACATAAAACGCGACAAAACACATATTGTGAGGCCAACTCGTCGCTCTCTCCCCGTTCGGTCTGCGGTTTGACTATTCAGGCGATTTAATTTTTTGGGTTTAAATCTCGGGGTGGCCAGCAAAAGCCGGCACTTCCATGTTAACTATATTGTGCTTATCCATAGATTAGAGCACCAAGTCACGAGGAGAGGGAGGTGCTGGGTGAATTGGTTTTCATCGAATCAAAGAAAACACTGACGGACGACCCGAATTATTCGTTTGTTGACAATTCATAAAGTTCAGTTTCTATATCCATGACACAGCGATAGGGGTACTAACGGAAGCGGCCGTGGTCGAAAAGTACTGTGGCCGATTTGTGCTGTAACACAGTCTACGGTCACACTTTCTGAAATGGCGACGATTACAATAATATTATGTACGGTTATAACCACGAATTGTATTATGGTGTAAAAAAAAATTTGTACCATCGGGATTTTATTGCCATATAGCTTTTCCACGACCTCCTTCTCCTACGACCAATGTGCTCTACACCTCCGCCTCGTCGTTGATCACACCGTCACTGTGGGCCGGCGACGTTGCCAAATCGTGTGCGGCGCGTCACCCGTGATTTGTTTCGGCATACGGCGTGCGTGCCCGACAGTGCTGGTGCAATCGGTACGTGGAAAATGCGTACCGGACGTACGGCACATACTTTTAATGGGTGAACAATACAGACTGCCGCCAAAGGACAATAAAGTGTTTCTCTCTCTCTGAGGAACTTGCGAGCGGTCGGCCAGTTATTGTGGTCGACAAGGACCGGCGGTGACGGCCACGGCGCCGGACCCGAATCGGTTCATACAGCCGACGGGTTTCACGACGAATTTGTGATAACATTGCATAGCCATTGCGCCTGCCAACTCGTTGGCGTTGTACGACCACGGAGGGCTATACAGTATATTATAAACCTAATACCTATACAATGAAAAAAACCTAGGGCGGCGCGGTTGCCACTTGCCGCCACGGAGGAGTGAGCGCGCGGCGTACCCATGGTGGAGGGGGAACGATTACGGCGGTTTGTCGGTGTTCCAACGCGTCAAGGCGGGTTCTCGTTTCTCCCACTCGGCCACCAACCGTGCCCGCGCGCTACCTCCGCTCGTGTTTCACGCACGCACGCACGCACGCACTTTGGACTGCCACCGCCTGCTGCTGCTGCTGCTGCCATCGTGCCGTTGCGCCGCCACACTCCACCACGTATCGCGTACCGCGGCCCCGGTTCCTTCTCCGTCATCGTGCGCCACGATAATATACGCGTTTCCCGTTCATATCGAGACACCGAACCGAACGACTCCCCCTGTGCCGCGCGCGTGTGAGTGTGTGCGAGCGAGTGAGTGTGCGTTCAGAACTTTTCATTGTTTTTTTTTTTTTTTTTTATTGTACCTCGTCCGAACACCGTTTTTCCATCGGCGGTGTGCGAACACATAGCAAAAACGACGACGAGCCGACGTTATTATTGTTATTTAATAATATTATTACTATCAGATAGACGTTGTCTCATGTCAGCGACGACCGCCCGAGGCGGCGGCGGCGATCCTCACGGGATTTTCTCGTCTCCGGTTGTCGCCCTCGCGACGTCCATGTAAAACCACCGGCACCATCCCTCGTGACCGTCACTTTCCCCACACCTACCGTGCCTCTCGCTCTCCTTCGGTTACGGAGACGGCGGTGGAGACTACTCACTATTATTTACATAAGATAATTGAGACAAAAATAATAGCGCGAATATATTATTTGATCATAATAATTGTAATACCTATTCAAGACCTATCGTAATCGCGATCGTCGTCGACTCCACCCCCTCTTTTCCGGTGGACGTCGCATATGATTTTAACGCCCCGGCGGCCACTCGCCAAAACGAAAAATACACGTCGCGCCCCCCTCCGGCCGGCCACGCATCCGGCTATCGCGGTGAGTTTTCCAGAGACGACGTCCCGTTTTCCCTCCGCCACCGTTAGCCGTGCCCTCGATTTCTCGGGGCCAACGTTCAGGCAAACGGGAAACGTTCAATTCGGGTTGATAACTGCATTGAAAAAATGATGATAACGCGTCTTATGGTCGGCTGTGAACTACACCTATGCGACGACAACCGTGTCGTTGTCCTTAGCTGACACGGAAAACACGAAGTGGTCTACTCGAAGAGGGTTCACAGGTAAATAATTTTGCAAAGTTTTGTCAACTGTTATCTCGCGCTGTGCGTGTCTACGGCAATCCCGTTTACGCGTTTGTTTGCAATTAACTCCACGTACCCGTGAGCACGTTCCACTGGCTCGCTCACGGTCGTTTCCTTAATTTTTTTTTTTTTTTTTAAATAAACAACTAGATAGTATCTAAGACATGCGCCATGTGTCCATTAGATATTTTTACACGTTCGTCATCGCTCGATAGTACTGAATTGACTCTTGCAATGCTTTTCGAGGGATAGGGGATGATGAGGGACAGGGCAAATAAATCCATGAAATGTGTTTGTAAAGACATCTCCAACAGCATCCGATGTTAACGTAACAACAAATCTATTCAGCATTTGCACGTCAACGTATCGGTTTATTGTGACTTTACGACAGTTAGCAATAACCCAAGTTTTTGCCCGACCTAGTAGTTTCGCTTAAGTATAAATAAACCCTATTAAACTGAGGCTTTAAACTTAAATTGGGAGGGGGGTCCTCCGTTCCTTTTTTAGCGCTTTTCAACAAATTTTTGTACCTACGATGAGAAAAAAGCCTTTGGTTAGCACTTGTTCATATTTGTTTGCATTCCCCTACTATATTTTATTTTTTATTTAATTCAAGCACTGTATGAACACATTTTTGCATTTATACCAACTATTTATTGTTTTAAAACAAAAAAACCAGATGAGTTTTTTGAGGTTTTAGGTTAAAACACAGTTTTAGGTTTTAGCCTACTCTGCTTTACAGGCCCTCATTCAGTGACATGTTAATTATGCTCTCTACTTGCCATCTTCTACATTTCTACATAAGCTACCACATTGTGTTGCAAAAATATACTGATATTTTTCTTAAAACATTTTAACTAAGATTTTCAGTGTGTCTTGCGAATGAACTCTGTTAAGAGTTACTATATAACAGTGTAGTAAAACACTTCCATTTTTCTTATTGTGATAACCTATTTCATTGTTTATATTAATATATATATATATATATATACATAGGAATATTTGAAACTTAAAGTTTGTAATGTTGTACTCTAGTGGGCTATTTGTGCCCTATATAATTTGGTAAACATTTTTTTGATTATTATACTTATCTACGACATATTACCTTTGTAATGGAGCTGAGAAGTTAATGGTTTTTATTTCAACTGGACCTACAATAAGAATTTAACCATCTGAACTAGTTTCTTTGAAACTATACTTTCTATAGAGTACCTACAGATTATTGATTTAAAAAAATGCACGCCTTCCCCTTAAAAATTGAAATTTTTAGCCTTTAAGGTATTGTACATTTTCACTGTCAAATAAACAGTCTGTACATTTCCAAATTCATTGAGATATTTTTAAGACGTAGACCTATTGATTAACTACCAATTCATTAAAATATCACTAACTAATTATCTCTTTCCCCTAATGGGTTGGAAATTCTTTCTCCATTTTTTTTTTTTTGGGTCTAGTTTTGGATTTAATGCCTAAAAATTTGATTAACATTTATTTAGTGCGTCACAGATAAATTTTAAAAGTCAGTAGTCAAACTTTGTTTTTGAGAAAAACACATTAAATAGTAGACAATTGTAAACACAATATTACCTTTATTATTTGATGTTTTCTTTGTTAACATCTAAATATTTACTTAAAAACAATGTTTAAAAAGTGATTTTATCACTTCAGCTATAATACAGGGTGGCAGAGAATGAAAGACCACATTTGTAATGAGCGCCATCATTTTAATTATTGAGGTAGAGGGGTGAAACAAAAAACAAGTTGTTGCAAATTTAGGAAAGTTTTATTTGGTATGAAAAAAATATTATTTGTGAAACAGAATGTTCAATAAATGGCGTTCTTGAACGGAGATGCATTCTTGGAGACGCTCGTCAAAGTTTTTCATCACTTTCTCCAACATTTCCACTGGAATTGATGCGATTTCACTTCTAATTGCATCCTTTAAATCGGAAAGGGTTCGTGACTTGTTGACATAAACATTCGACTTCAGATACCCCCATAGGGAGAAGTTGCAGGGGGTGAAATCGGCGAGCGGGTTGACCATGGAACGTCACCATTTCGAGAGACCAGACACCCCGGAAAAGTTCAACGGTTAAGTTCCATTGTCTTGTTGGAATCAGATATTTTCAGTATCCATTTCGTTTTCCTCTAAGTAAGGGATGAAAATATCTTGGAACATAGTCTCGTAACGCTCAGAATTCACCATCACTGCATACCCCTCTTTCATATTCAAAAAAATAAGGCCCAATTATTCCAACTTTTAACAATGCACACCAAACTGTTACTTTTCCACTGTGAAGAGACTATTAGTGCAATTCTCTTGGGTTACCGTTTGCCCTATATCGGAAATTTTGTTTATTGATACTGTCCAAGTAGTAATGAGGTCTTTCGGTCCCGCTACCATGCGAGCGCCTCCAAGAATGCATCTCCGTGCAAGAACGCCATCTATCGGACATTCTGTTTCCCAAATAATATTTTTTTCACATCCAATAAAACTTCCCTAAATTAGCAACAACTTGTTTTTTGTTTCACCCCTCTACCTCAATAATTAAAATTATAGCGCCCATTACAAATGTGGTCTTTCATTCTCCGCCACCCTGTACATAGTACCAAAACCTCCCCCAGGCCCCAACGCTACAATTTATCTGCATTATTTAATGTCAGCAATTTTGATAATTCATTTAAAAAACTATTGATAGCGATCTGTAAAATTTATCTATATTGGTTAAGGATAATAAACTATTTTTTTTTTAAATTAGGATATATGGTGGCTTAGGAGAAAAGTGTTTGTGCTTAACTCACTACAGAAATTTACTTTTTTCATCAATATTAATATATTTTATGACAGGTTTTTTTTATACACGTAGTATGTCACATTATGTCACACGCGTTGTAGATTTGTTTTTATGAGGTAACAACTTAATTTTAGTTTTTTTTTCTTTGCATATCAAACGAATTTGTTATGTAAAAAATAATCCACGATCTTATGACTAATAATGATAAATTAATTGATCTGAAATGAAGAGTGTTGCTGCTTAATAGTAATTGAATTTAACTTAAGTATAATACAAGTTTACTTAAGAGTTTGTTAACCATCTATGTTAGTGTTCAGAAATGTTTTGAAAAAAATTGATTTGAAACTAAAACTATTGTGAAAATTAATTTGTAGAATAATTAAGATTCTTTACTACTAGTTAATATTTTTATCAGACCATCATTTATTAAAGTTTTTAATTATTTGTTTTTACAAAAATTTTAGTTTTACAGATTTTGTTTTACACTGTCCATAATGAGAGCAAAACGCCTCTTATGAAAACAAAATATTAAGATATTTTGGAGAAAATGTCATAGCTGATTTTTAATTTTTTTTTATTTGACTTAATTTATAATGTTGAAAGACATACTGTTTTTCTTTATTATAAGGGATTACGTTTTGGTCCAGGAAATATTTTTAAGAACAAATATGATAATCCCTCTAAAATGTTATTCTCTTTCAATTTACAATAGATGTTTTTGCTCTAAATCCATAATGGAGTGAGTAAAACTACTATAACTAAGTAGGTAGTAAAGTTCTTACGCTAGATAATTAAGTTTATTATAACTGTCACTTAATAATATTTTAATAATATCATGAAAAAACATAAAATATAACTGTGATAGATGATCAAAAAAAAAAAAAAACTGGTAGTCAATTCAGATATTAGTTGGAAGTGATTGTTAGGCGTTGAATAAAAAGGATAAAACAAAAATTAAAAAGGCTGAAATAAGAATTTTGAAAGAAATTTGTGGAGTCTCATACCTTAAAATAAAGCCAAGTCTAAAATATTAAATAAGCCATAAATAAATAAAAATTAATGTTCTTTTTATAATATTTCACCCTCTCTTATTACTCTATAGAGCGATTAGTGATTGGTAATCGATGAGTCAGAATATATTGGGAGGATATTTGGGAGCGGTGTTAATAGTTGGTAAAATAAAAGAGACTAGATTGGGTATGTAGAAAGAGCAGAGGAAAATAAAAAAGTAAAACAAATCCTGAATGATTATAGTAAAAGGATGAAAGGAAAAAGTAGATTGAAGAAGTGGCGAGGAGATTTATAAATGAAGATACGGAAATGTGTGAAGCGAATTAAGAAACAGCGAAGAAGTGGCGAGGAGATGTTATAAAGATCGGAAATGATAAAGGTTAAACCCTTTTCCTATTGGACATAGAGAGCCATTGGACAGCTACGGCTCTCCTTGTTAAGTTATTAAATTAACTAACTTAAGTATTACATTTTTTCTTTTTATAGATATCTTATTTAATATAATAGTAATAATTTAAGGATACATATTCTGTGTAAAATCAACACTAAGATATTGACTCGGATTTCGAATGTGTCCATACATTTTTTTTTTAAATTTCTGTTGGTATTTAGATTTTAATTATATTTATAATGAATTGTCGGTTGTCCATAACTATAACTGTACACATAAGATACAAATCATTTTTTTGTTTTTATTTTCATTGATTCAATCAGTATACCAGATATTGATGCAAAGTTGATAAGGTATTTTATTTATTTATCTGGTATAGTATAAAAAAATTAACAGAGTAATGGCAGATTCTTACATTGTTCATACTTGATTTCATTTATATGTGTCTTGGTATATTTCCCATTATGCACATCAGATCAATGCCTATGGTCCCTAGTTTTAAAAATTTGTTAAGTCTTTGATTATTTATATTGTGAATTCAGTGGCCATATTTTTTATCTTGGGTTGAGATTATTGCTGACAACCAAACTAATGCCTGTGTACACAAAAGTATCAATAAATATTGCATAATTTTTTTAGCTTTGTTATTACTACTAAAGAATTTAAATCTCATACACACTTTTTTTATTGAATGTTCAAAAATTATTATCATAATATAAAAAAAATTACCATCTAAATGAAGAAATCATCCTCTTTTAAAGGGATTGGTAATAGTTATTTCT